ATAAAATGGAGCTGTGGTAAAGAAATGATCCCACTATATACAAACAGTCACTGAGGCAGGAGAGTGAAATCTTTTCTCTCCTAGAGACCAATGGCACTGGGTCAAAGGTATAATGCTTTAGACTGTTCTTCTTCAGTTAATGCCCCACCAGCTGGCACAACGGTGACCAGATGCAATGGGCAGAGAAGTCACTTGCAAGTAACCTATCAACGCCAGGAGAGGAAGGGGAGGGAATGGTGTCAGAAAACATTAAGTGTTTCCCCCTTTTTTGTGCCCACCTGACTGTATTTTCAGTCTGTCTCCTCTTATCTCTCTCTTACACACTAGTGCGGTGGCACAAATCAGTTTTAGAGTGATCTGTCTGTGCCTCCAGGGCTCTGGGATGGGGTGCATTCTCTTATGAGGGACCAGTCACATCCCAGGAAAACATTAATTGAAGTTCCTGTGAATGTTAAAGATAGCTCCGTTGTCAGTTTGGGTGAGTTTTGAGATATGTGAAGTTAAACTCCTCACGGTCAAAATTAGTATAAGTGCGCATAAAACTCAGTTTCATCAATATATCAAGCATTTAAAACGTATTTCATTGCCACTGTACAAGCAGTTACAGAGAGAAGAAGAAGGGAAAAAAGGAGAAAGAGGAGGAGGTAATGAATCATAGCAAGAACAACAAGACCATATGCTTTATTATTGCTTTGCAAATGCACCTAAAAGGGAGAAGTGCTGTCCGTGGTGTTTATCCATCTCCGCGACCTGAAACACTCGGAGTCTCCCATCTGACTGGGATGAATGGTCACAGCAACCCGCAGGGCTGTTGGGGGAGAAATACACTTCGGGCTACAGAGAGCCACTGAATAGTGTTGTTCACAGTCCTGGGGACTAGGAGACCCGGGTCCCGAGGCCCGGGTTCCAAGGCAGAGCTCTGCCCTGCTTCAGAGCCATGCTGCGTCCCAGAGGCACTGCCACCCAGGCTGCTGTGTTATTGGCGTCACTAGCACCATGTGTGTACGTCACTGAGCCTGGGATGGTTTGGAGGGTACTCATTTCTTTATCCATCTGGCATCTGACTTTTGGGGTCAGAAATCTGGCAGCCTGAGAGGAGAGGACCACGGGGCACCTCCCACCCCTCCCTGGCAGGGGCTGGGAAGAGGATGCTCCGAGAATATTCTGTCTCAGTGCTTGCAGAGAGGGTTGGTTTTAGTTCTCTTAATCTAAAGTTGAAAAATTTCAAGAACATATGTAGTAATTTAAAACCCTGCAGTACCCTCCAAATAATAATACGCATGGCACAGCATTTTTTTTTAAAGACTTTATTTTTCTCCTGTGTACTTTTAAAAAAACCCACAGTGGTTTCTAATTTTCTTTTGAACATCACTGATTTGACCAACATCATTTACTTTCTCTAGTATTCTCTAACTAGTATTATAAATACCTGGACATAGTTTTGAAAATGGATAATATCATTATTGTTGATGATATAGCTATATGTGTCTATTGTAAATGACTCAAACAGTTTAAAAATGGAATGAGCATATTTTTTGTTAGCTATATAGCTATATGTGTTTATTGTAAATGATTCAAACAATATAGAAATGTAGAAAGTGAAAGCGATCATCTAATACCATCCCCCAGCAATTGCCACTGTTAGCTATAAATTTGTTTCTAACTTGCAGAAGCTTAAGGACCAGAGTTTTAAGTGAGCTTGTCTTCTCCTATTGGGTTACATTTGTTCTCTCTGCAAAAACACACAGCATAAATAGCAGCAAACCCATTATAATAAAAACCAGAAGACTGAAAAGTAAAAATTCATATAAAGCTACAATGGATACCAATAAGACCTTGAACGTTTAAATTTCCTAAATCTGTTCATTATATTGTCTTCCTGGCATTGTATGGTCATTGTAGGTAAGAGGTAAGAATCTTTGGTGAATCTGCCAACCTGTGGTATTTGTTCTTACTGCTCTTCTAGGGGTTTGTGAGATTGTTGTAATTATATATAATATAAATATATACCAAATATATATTTTTTCATAGATGGAAAACCAGAATTATGACTAGAAGGACTCTTAGAGGAATTGACATTTCAGTGACATGAGTCATGAGAGTTCAGTAAGAATTTGTAGGTGGAGAAGGGACTGGGGGTGAGGAAGAATGTCAAGAGGAAGACAGACACTGAGAGAGAAGGGAATCAACATTTATTAAGTGCCACTGCGCGCCAGGCACTGCGCGTCCGCTAGTTCAGTCCTAAGATCTGTGTATCGCTCTCCTCATTCTGCCCATGAGGAAACTCAGTCTCAGAAAGCTTATGTGATTTGCCCAAGGTCTCAAACTTGATTTACCACTTGGACGAGTCAGAATTCACACCCAGGTCTGACGACTGCACGGACGGTACTGTGTCAGCAGCGTGAGGCTGAGGAAAGAGCTCGTCTTCTTGCGGGGAGTGATGGGTTGATGTGGCTGGAGTGGGGCATGCATTGGAGGAAACAGGCAGAAACAAGATTAAAAATGGAGAATGGGGCCGGTTTGTGAAGGGCGTTTTCAGCCTGCCTAGGATTTGCTCTTGGAGGTTGAGAATACTGGCGAGGGTTTGTAAGCAGATATGACAGCTCGGATTTATCTTAGAAAGAGAACTCTGGCCGCCTTGTTGGGTTGGAGGGAGCTGGATAACACTGGAGGCAGGGTCATGGATTTATCCTCACTACACTTAGATGTGCAAAGAAAATATTTTTTCTAAATTTGACCTGACTTAACCCTTAAGATCCCCTTCCCACTTGATAGGGGGAGAAAAAAGAAGCTGCATTTAATTGAGAGTTGTAAACTCAGTCTGCACCAATAATGTAAAAGGTCTCTTGGTAATTCATTCTTCCCTCTGTGCTTCACTAAGGTGGTGTCTCAGGAAGTAGGGGCTCACATGTCCTTGAGACAGTGTGTATGGTGTGTATCAGAAGTTAAGGGGTCTGGCGTTGTTCTGGCCCTGCCTTGGGCTCTGTTGCTAAAGTGTGCGGCTGCTGTAACTTGTGGTTCATTTTCTCTTAGGTCAGTCACGGCCTGGTTTTCCCTTTTGCTTATGTGCTCCCACCTTAGCTCTGCAAACACCTGCCCTTCCAGCGTGCCGTGAAGTCTGACAGTGCCCTTCCCCTCACAGTCCTCCACAGTACCCAGTACACTCGGGAGCATCCACACCACTTAGAAGCCGGGGAAGCTCTGGATAGCTAAACTCAAAACTTAGGCCCTATCTTTACCTAACTGCTGTGACACCAATTTTACTGATTTACATGATATGGTCACCACCCATGGGGTCACCAGCCCATGTTGTCATGAGTGTGGGGGGTGGGACAAGAGGACATTCTGTGAGATGGCATCCTTTATATCCCCAAAGGGAAAGTGGTACAGAAGCTTCTTGGCTTTTAGCTTTGTCAACCTTTTAACTCTTCACCTTCTCTGGGATTTTAGCCCCGAGTGGGGAGAAGCTGTACCTTCTGGTGTCTCTGCCACCTTCTGCTTTCTCCGTCTGCCTTGGCCACTTCTTCTCTCCACACTTCTCCTCATGTTCCCTACTCACTGAGACTTCTCTAGGTCTTCCTGTTCTCCTTCTGGAGGGACCATTAACCTCCACTTTGGGCTGTAGTAGCAGCCAGGATATAAGAAGGGAGAGAGACCAGCCATAAGATAAAGGAACCTCAATTAGAAAGTATTTCAAAGCTGTCATATCTGTCACCCCATGATAAAGCTGTTACAGTAGTCTAAGTGAGAGATAATAAAAGCCTGAGAGAGTCCTAGGAGGGAGCGCTGGTGAAAGCAAACGTGGGCCTGATTGGAGGGAAAAGTTGAGGGTGACTTTGGGGTTCCTAGTTGGGGCACCTGTTGGATAAAGATGCACTTGACAGAGAAAAGACAGGAGGAGAAGAAAGAATTGTGAGGGCAGGGGCTAGGGGGTGGGAGGGAGGGAAGGAAGGGAAGGAATGAGTTCCATTTTGGACATGATTGAAATGCTGTCTAATGGGAGGCATATGGGGCTGGCGCCTGGGAGAGAATCTGCCTGGAGAAATAGATTTGGGAACAGGTAAGAATATCCAGGGAGTGAAGGAAGAGAAACTCACTGTCATTGTCGATGCTGAATTTAAAGACATAAACAAGGTCATCACTGTTTCAGTTCTTCCTTGCACTTCACAATGACCTAGTACTTTGGAACTTTTCCTCCTGGTTCCTGCAGTGGGGCAGGTCAGAGGTCACAGAGTACGTCCATGGTGTCTGCTGCTACTTTTGATCCCCAAGGGGACCCCTCAAGCCCCAGGTCCGAGACGGAGATCCATTCTATACTGAGTTCATATCACAGTGAGGCCAGAATACTTAAATAGAACTTTGATGAGTGGCAAAAAATAAATAATTTGCAGGTACATGCAAAGGCAGCGTTTAATTTTTTGAGGTTGAGTTAAATTTATTAAGCAAACTCCTGGAAATGTAACATGAACTTCTGAAAACTCTTTCCATCATTGTTATGCCTGAGACATGGTCTAACCTTTGAATGTACTCTGCTAATATAATTGCCTTTCTGTCTTGTAAAGGTGGCTTTTAATTGGGTTCTCGAGCAGCAGCTGCCGTTGAGGTGCCGGTTGCAGACTTGCAATAGGTTGGGCCACTTCATTAAATGCTGCCTCTCCCTGGACTGGGCATCCGGACTTGGGTGGTGGCCAGCAGTTACTGAAATGCCATCACTTATAGGATTGCCCTTTAAGCCACTGATTTGTTCTTTTATTGAGTTTCGACTCTCTTCCCCTCAAATTTAAATGGAGCTTTATTGAACACAGTGCTAAACTCAATTCTTCCCATTCTTAGTGACCTTTTCATCAGGTTATTTCCCCCATGTTCATAGCATTTAGTCCTCTGGCTGGACAGGAGGTTTAAGAACTAAAGACAGCTTGTCCTTGATGGGGCTCAGGCCTGTCCGTGGGGAAGTGCAGTGGCTTATCTCACAGACATGACCTGGAGTCCTCCCTTGGCGGATGATTTATGTGCGGGTAACCTGCGAAGTCTCTTAGCCATTTTTTTCCTTTTTTGGTAAAATTGTGCTGAAAATTCTTGTCTCCAGGATTATTGTCCTGAAGGTTTTTAAGTTTTAAGTTTGAGTATGTAACTGTCACACTGAATGCACAGACATTTGAGGTGGGGTGGGAAGGTGGGACAACAGAGGGAACTCTGTTTTTGTGTTTGGTTCTTCCTCTCAGAGCAGCTCGTGGGGCTGGATCTTTTCATGCCCTGGATGAAGTGTTGGGCAGGCCCAATGTATTTTCTGATCATTTTCATATAATAGAAAGTTCTTTAGTCATGTGTCCTTCCCAGGCAGTCTCAGTTTGGTAATTAATATGTCCAGCCTTAAGTAGACTGTTTAAAGTGAAAGCTGCTCCTGTCCCTGACTTAGATTTTAGATTCAGTTTGTCAATTTCCACCAAAAAAAACCCTATTGGTATTTTTATTGGAATACGTTGAAATTATAGATTGATTTTCTTTTTGGAGGTGATAAACATTTTCTTAGACTTATTCTTAAATTATTTATATTGCTTTTTTTTTTTTTGGAGGAAGATTGGTGCTGCGCTAACATCTGTTGCCAATCTTCCTCTTTTTCTTTTTTTCTCCCCAAAGCCCTGGTACATAGTTGTATATCATAGTTGTAAAGTTGTAGCACTTCTACGTGGGACGCTGCCTCAGCATGGCTTGATGAGCGGTGAGTGGGTCCGCACCCAGGATCCGAACTGGTGAACCCCGCCCGGGTTGCTGAAGCAGAAAGCTCGAACTTAACTGCTACTCCACCAGCCCAGCTCTTTATATTTCTTTGCTGTTGCAAATGCTGTGTTTTCAAAATTAAGTTTTCTGTTTGTTGATATTGTACCAAAGTGCAATAATTTTTGTATATTGATTTTATATCCAATGATTTTGTTGGATGTTCTTATTCTAATAATTTTCCAATGAATTTTTAATATAGATAATTATATCATCTGTGAAAAATTATTTTTTTCCTTGTTCTCCATTTCTTGTGCCTTTTTCCCTTTATTTTTCTATGTTACCCTCCAGACAGAATTGGTAAACAGAAGTGGTGATAATTGCCATCTTTTTCTTATTTTTGATTTTAGAGGAGTTGCTTGTAATAGTTCACTATTAGGTAAAATGTTTGTAGTAAATTTTTGGTAGATATCCTTTATTAGCTTTCTAGTTTGCTAGAAATTTCACTTTCTAGTTTGCAAGGAATTTTAATCATATATTTGTGTAGAATTTTATCAGATACCTTTCCTGTATCTAATGAGGTGTTGTGGGGTGACTCTTATTGAGGGGTGTTAACATGTACCCTATGGTATCTTCTAGGTGCAAAGTCATTACCAGCCGGCCTGGGAGTGATATTACATTTTGAAATATGAATACGATTTACATAGTGCTGATGCACTTTGTAAACATACACACTTTGTAGAGAAATACCATGTTGTTAGGCTGTCATGCTTGAAAGGGAAAACTAAACTTTGCGTTTTTTCTCTCCAGTATTACTTTACTGTTCTTTTTGGCCACGAAGGCCAGAAACCACTGGAGCTGCGCTGTGAGGAGGAGCAGGACGGTCAAGAGTGGATGGAGGCCATTCACCAAGCCAGGTACGGGCTCCACTCCTCTGGGTGGCCTGGATCGTCTGGGTCTTGCTTTGGGGGTATCACTGTTGGTGGGTAGTTTTAGAAGAACTTACAATTCCAAGATGGGTTTCCCCTGGATACCTCCTCCTTAGTCCTGTGTGAGATGATTCTCTGAGCTTTCTGTGGCTGCGTTCTAGCTAAAGATGAAAGGTAATGGATATAACAAGAACAATGACGATAGGTCACTTTCGTGGGTTTGTTCCTACATGCCAGGCACTGTTCTAAGTGCTTCTCCATCAAGGAACTTATTAAATGTATTGATTCACTGATCCTTTCAACAGTCTGCGAGAGGGGTATCATAATTACCCCCTCTTTTACAGATAAGGAAACTGGCCCCCTTCTCCAAATTGCTGCAGCACTGGCATTACTACATGTGGGATATTTAAGGATTTAGTACAACTTAGCTTGTTTTTTATGTATTTCATGTGTGTGATTTATGTCTCCTGAGCTGCACCTTGAGAGAGAGGAGGAGGATAGGGGCACGTTATTTCTGAATGAGGCGCAGTGCTAATCATATAGTAGGTGATCAGGAAGTCTTTTCAGATTGATTATAAAGAGAATGAGGCATTTGTTCTGAGTGAGTTTAAACTGTTCTTTGAACCCCTGAGACTTTTTCTCTGAAAGTCTCCTCCTCTCCCCTCCCCTCCCTTCTTTCTTCAACTATGTTATAACGACCGTCTCCCCTGTGGCAGGCAGCATGCTAAGTGCTTTACATACTTATCTTTTTTCATTCCTCGCAACTGCCCGGGAGGGTATTATTAACCCCATTTTACAGATGAGAAAACAAAGATTCACGATGATTAAGCAGACTGGCCAAGATCTAACACAAAGTCGTTGAGCTGCACAGCTGGGATTCAGACCCAGGCCAACCTGACTCCAGAACCTTGAGCCAGCGTTCTGTATTGCACCTCTCTTTGTTGTTGTCACTTTTTCTTTTCAGTCTTTCCCTCTTCTGTGTCTGTTTCTCTTCCTCCATTCAAAGATGAAAGTGGATTTATGTGAGGCCAGGGCTGAGAGTAGAAGATGTTATTTGCAAAAGATTTCAGTTCCTTTTCTTTCCTTTACTCCAAAATATTTTTCGGAGATGGACAGAGTTGGTAACCAAATGCTGCTCTCCAGGTGGGCCCGGGAATGGCTTGCCGCCGTCATGATCCAGGCACACTGTTCAGCCGTCTTTGCTGCCTGTGCTCTCTGGGGGTTTTGCTCCAGACTTAGGATTAATGTAGAATGACTTGCTGTGGAAAGGTCAGGTCTTCAAAGGTGAAAGAAGTATCAAGTTGGCAAAGTAGAGCCCTTGGGTCATTTCCAGACACAATCTTTGTGACCATGTCATTCCTTTCTACCTGGGAGTTAAAACGAAGTGAATAATTTACGCATGTGTATTTGTCCATCTTCTTCATTCTAGAAAAGCCAGGTACCATTAGTAGCCTAAACGTCTTTGTAGTTGCCAAGCAAGTATCATGGTGAACCAGATACAGAGTATAAATTACTTTAAAAATGGTGAGATTTCAAGTAAGAAATTTTTGTCTATGCCATGAAAACTTTGTTGTATATGTGGAAGTGGGTCGGTAACTATTAGGTGTTGATTGACATATCATCAAAACCAGGGCACCTGTGATCTTGTCAGGAAACAGACTTTAGAAACCACTTTAGTGAATTATGTGATCGAATGGTAAAAATTCACTTCTCTTTTGGACTTGAAGATTTGGTTAATAATTGATCTTTTGTCTTAATGTCCTGACTTTTCGGTCCATTAGATTTGTTTTTGCTTTGACTTGAGGCCCGGGACTGGTTCTTTGATGACTTCCTTTTAATCTGACTGCTTTATACCTGAGTTTTTATATTTCACTTTTTGCACTGAGATGCTTCTTAAATTTTTGTTTTCTAAATCAGGGAAGATAATAACTTTTTCATCTAAGTTTCATTAAGTCAAGTTTTTGGTGAAAACTGAGATCTGTGAAATTCATCCTGACTTTATTCATACATGAGCAGAGCCAGAAAGTTAATGAGGCTGATGCAGAGAAAGAATTTGTCAGCCATTTTTGCTTGGCTTTGTGCTAATTAAACCACTGGTTGGTTGAGTAAACATTTCACCTTTAGAGTACAGTCTGTTGGCATTAATTTGGTACTGCTGCCTTTTTAATAGAAAACGCTCAATAATTATGGTTTTATTGATCCCTCTTTTTAAAAGTCTGAGCTTTTAATTCACTGATGACTATTTTAGTCGGAGACTAGTCCTTTTCTGAGCTACAAATCCTCCTGCAGATACTGCATAGAAACGTAGAAATGCTCAGAACCCCTCTCTTGGTCACTGCTGTTTTCCTAGGATGGCTTCTCAGTACCAGCCTGGGTGTGCTGTCTTTGTGTGCCGTGAAAATCACGTTCTTGCTGCTGGCTTTTGTACCTCAGAGCTGAATCTACTTGCCCCAGTTTGCTTCAGAGAATCTTTGGGTCATTTTCTGGGATATGGAGTTATATGTTTTCTCCCTTAGATCTGGCCCAGGGAAAAATCTTTTTGGAAATTAAATTCCCATTTTGAAGCTTTGACCTGGCTGAGGAAGCTTGTTTTACAGTTTTGCTTGCATTTGGCCGATATTACATTTCTAGAACGCTGGCACATTTAAAATATCATTCCATCTCACATATTATTGGCACCAGTTCGTGGGAAGCTGCTAGCAAGACTCAGTCTTGAATGTCGGATGAGGTGAAGCCAGAGCATTTAACAGCAGTGAAGTGTGGAACTTTGGACATTCCCAATAACCTGATATTTCTTCTCTGTTCTCTTTGCCATATCTGTCCACCACGGTTAACTTAGTTGTAGACATTAGGACAATCAAAAACACTAATCCAGTTGATTATGAGTCCTTGGGGCCCGTTGGTTGAAAAGACAATGTTCACAGTGCCTTTTCTCTACATTTCACCTGCTGAAACACTGACCAAATGAAGCCGTGGCAGTTAGAAGGTAGTCATGGCCTGAAATTGGATCCAGGTGTACCTCTTCTAAAGCTCTTCCCATTCTGGCCTAAGCATAGGACTCAGAGGGCCTGGTCTGTGACAGTTGGGAAGAGAAGTGGAAAGTATTCCAGAGATGTATGAGGTAGACTTCAAAGGACTTTGTGACCACATGGATGTGGGCAGTGTTAGACCAGGATGGCATCTAATGTCTCTTGGGTCCCTAGTTTGTATGGGGTCACTCACTGGGAGGAGAAATGATGAATGAGAGCAGGTCTGTGGGGCAAAGATGATGTGTGCTGGCCAGAAAGGGCCTCTGCAGGGAATGGGAGGGTATGATGGCCTAGAGGGGCCATGGGGAGCCGTGCGATACTGATGGATCTCCCTGCCCCTTGGTATTTAAGGTATGAGAGAGTGAGTATCGGGGACTACTAGAAAAGTAAGGTATGTCATGAGGGGAGAGCTGGCTTTGGGTTTCTACCAAGGTTGAGGTTGAGGGAGGGCTTGTGACAAGTTGGAGGCATCGAGAATATGTGCCTGCTACAGCACACCATGGAATGTGCATAGGTTTTTTTTTGCCCTGGGGAGGTATGATTTATGCTTTCAAGTGTTTGAGACTGTCCCACTCTCTTTTGCCTGCTTTCTAATTCCACCAACTGATGCTCTGCTCAAACTGCCGTCTCGATTCTCTCTCCTCCCCAGGGTGTGTGCGCCTGTGGCAGGTGGATCTTGGGTTTGCCTCTAAGGGGAGGGCATTTGCAAGGGAAGAAGGAATTGGGTGTATGCTTCCCTTCCGCAAAGCTCACATCAGATTTAGCTGGGCTAAGGCTTGACATAGCCGTTTCCTTCACCCTGTCAGTCTAGAACTTGATGAGCAGAGAGACTCAATCCTCCAATTAAGTCTTTCAGTTAAGCCTGGTCCTCTTGTCCACTAAAGAGAGCTCTAATCCAGCCTCTCGGGTCTGTTTTTATCTGTTGTCCTTTTGATTACATGTGCCTGAGGCCGCCTGTTGTTCATTTTCTCCCTCATTCTCTCTCAATTTATTTCCCGTTCCCCCTAACACACAACACACACACACACACACACATACACACACCCATGGTAACTGCACCAAACACCAAACACCTAATGCTTGTAACCTCATTCTTTTTAGTTGGATAGAGTCTTGATTTAGAGCAAAGCGTATAGTATAAAATCTGTCCAAAATTAAAGGCCACTGTGTGTATCGTATCATCCCCACGAAGTCAGCACTGTATAGAATGTGCATGGAGAAATCCCTCAACAAATTAGAAAACAGTGATTATGTAGAAAAGTTGAAAATGCTTCATGTATCACAGCAAAACCACAGGACTAGAAAATCAGAAAGAGACGGTGATGTGACAGCCTGAAGCGCTCCTGAAGCCGCATTTTGCATTCTTCTTGTGGCAGTGAGAACATCAGTACTAGAAAGCTGAAAATGTGGATTTCCTTCATTTGAGATATTATATTTTTTTACTAAGAACTTCTGTCAGCACTTTGCCTCCAGATTTGCCACAGTAAAGGGAATTCAACATTTTCTCTTCTCAGAGCCTGCCACGCCTAACACAAAAGAAAAGGGGTAGCACGTTTGTGAACTATGGAAGCTTTCACTTGAGTGGATGGGAGAACTTGTTTTCTATGGGGAGAAGTGGGACTTGAATTTTCTTAGTTTCGGCCCTTTATTAATCCTTTTTACCTGTCATTGATTCCTCACCGTGGTTTTGCTTCAAGAGCTTGTCTCCCCCCTTGAGTGTCCAGCTGGCACCGCAGCACAATCTCTTGTCTGCATTCACAGGGCCGGCGCTCCGTCCTCACGGGCACATGGCTCACTCGCAGGAGGGTGCCACCGCCACCGACTCTTCGCCTACCCGGGAGAACCATCTCTGGTTCAAGGCAAATCTCTACCGTGAGCCTCTTCCCTCTGGTTTTCTTGCTCCATTGGTTATTCCATTTCTTTCTTGTAGTTCCAGTCTGTTTACTGTCCCTTTGGCTT